TTGGGACACCCAATCCAAATCATTGGATTCAGGTGTCCCAATCACCTCCATGGCCACAGGTGTATAAAATCAAGCACCTAGGCATGCAGACTGCTTCTACAAACATTTGGTAAAGAATGGGTTGGTCTCAGGAGCTCAGCGAATTCAAGCGTGGTACTGTGATAGGTTGCCACCTGTGCAATAAGTCCATCAGTGAAATGTCCTTGGTACTAAATATTCCACGGCCAGCTGTTGGTGGTATTATAACAAAGTGGAAGCAACTGGGAATAACAGCAACTCAGCCACCAAGTGGTAGGACACGAGACAGAGTGGGGTCAGAGTATGCTGAAGAGCACAGTGATCTGTAGGCAGAGTAACTAATTGTTGCTAGGCAAAAGTATAATTAACTAACTGTACTGAGTGAGCTGTGATCATTTAGTTAGGTCTGTTCTATGTGCTCTGCTGCTGCTAGTCTGCCTAGCTTCCTTTGTGTCCAGGAGACTGCCAAAGTTTCTAAATGACAGATGTGGAGTTATGCAGATAGCAGAATGAATATTTACACAGCCTCAGCCTATCCCAGAGTGAGGGGATCCAAGGCATGCTGGGTAACTGTATATATTCACTGAGCACACAGAGTTCTGGGTCTTTCCTGGCTAGGATTGCCCAAGCCCGGGGGAGGACACCTTGCTCTCCTAGGCAGCTGCTGCCATGGGCCTCAGGTAGGCTACCTGAGGGCCGAAGTTGCAGAGACCTGGGTTTTGCTGTGCTGACTGAGGGACTGTCTTCTGGAGATTTGGTCTGGTATCACAGGGGAAGGTGTTCAGTTGCTCTTGAATCTTGTGAGGATATTAGAGACTGTGCACTGTTAACCTCCCTCTGGTGCTAGGAAATCAGCTACAGGTTTAGGAAAGGGAAAGCTGGCTGGTGTTCCGAGGAGTTTTGTCCTTCTGCCCACTATTACTTAAAGGGGCACTGCTCTGGGCTCTAAAGAATTTACTGTTGCTACTGCTCAAAGCTGAAGTCCACCGTTTGATTGATATCCATGAACTCAGATATAGCTTGTTCTGATTAGTCAAAGTCCTCAGTGTATAGTTCCAAATCTGGAGTATCCCTCTGATATCTCTCATCCCTATGCCCTTTCAACAAAAATAAAAACAACAAAAACAACACCCCTAGCTGATTATTTGAGAAACAAGTGAATGAGCCTATGTGGGTATTTGGGGAGGACCTGGACAGAATTCCAGCAGTTCCTACGGGAGTAGCGATACATATGTATATGTTATGCCAGCACCCAATGAAATTGCATGTTGAAAAAAAATCATAATAAAGACTTTATATTAAAAAAGAGACAATATGTGATTGATTGTTGTGAATTATATCACATTAGCACTGCTTTATAGAATAATTCACTGAATAGTTATGTATTTGTATTACAGTATAATATTTCTTCTTTTGATTTTTTGCAAAGTCTGCCACAGTAAACATTTTCTTCCCCCTCATATCCAGATGGGGTATACCCACTGAAGGGTTAAGTGAGGGGAAAGTGCAATTAAGGCACATTACACATTTCCAATAGTGAAGTGTTTAACTTTGCAAAGGAAACTAATTCAATGAGGAAATAATTAGTTGCCATCATCTGTCCCTCCACCCATTTAAAGGTCCTCAGCTGCACGTGCTGATGTTTCCTCCAGCCTGACTTCCTGGGCACAGCTAAGATGCTGCAGGTACATGAATTACCTAAAGTGCTTTGTGATTGCTAACACAAGGTCCCGAGATCAATGTCATTATAATCTGCTGCGACTGTTCAACTTCTCTCTGGAGAACAGGCAGAGCCAAGATCAGTGCAGTCACTCCATTCGTGCATTGTGCTAGGTCATCATAGCATCTGCATGGTCAACAGACAGTTGCCAAAGTGAATTAAATTTAACGATGATGTTAGAATATTCCTTTTTTTTTTCCACGGACACTTTGCTGTTGAAGTATTGCTCATCATGTATGCCATTTATCAGGTACATTACCTAAAACAGATGTATTGTAAATTCTAACTGAACGAAAATTAGTTTACTAAAGCACTGTGTATCATAAACAACCAATATTTTTTAAAAAACAATACTGTTTTCACTTTTTTTCATCCTGATCGCCTGCATCCATTTTGCAGCTACCCACCGAACATCACTTCAGCAATAGCTGCATGTCATTTTATAGGGTGGATTTTTTAAAGGTGACAACAGTAGAACATGGCTTTGCAATGTGCATCAGTGTGGCCATTTTTAGTCTGCATGGTGATAGCATGTGACGGGGTGACAGTGACAACAGCAGAGAACAACTGGGAGACAAGGACACTGCGTTGTCATCCTATAACAGCAAGTACCTGAAAAAGGACAGTGCACTGTCATCCTATGACAGGAAGTACTTAAAAAATTACCCTCATGGCAGGATCATCAGGTAAGCAACAAATTAAAATTAATTTTTAAATTACAATAACCTGGAAAGGCTTTTATGAGATTTTATTGATTTGGTTTATAGACACATGCTATTGTTGCATTCCCATAATGCATTATAAAACACTTGAAAAGCAACATCACATACAGTGGGGATCGAAGGTTTGAGCACCCCAGCTAAAAATTTGTATTAATGTGCATAAAGAAGCCAAGGAAAGATGGAAAAATCTCCAAAAGGCATCAAATTACAGATTAGACATTCTTATAATATGTCAACAAAAGTTAGATTTTATTTCCATCATTTACACTTTCAAAATAACAGAAAACAAAAAAATGGCGTCTGCAAAAGTTTGGGCACCCTGCAGAATTTATAGCATGCACTGCCCCCTTTGCCAAGCTGAGACCTGCCAGTGTCATGGATTGTTCTCAATCATCGTCTGGGAAGACCAGGTGATGTCAATCTCAAAGGTTTTAAATGCCCAGACTCATCTGACCTTGCCCCAACAATCAGCACCATGGATTCTTCTAAGCAGTTATCTAGAAAACTGAAACTGAAAATAGTTGACGCTCACAAAGCTGGAGAAGGCTATAAGAAGATAGCAAAGCGTTTTCAGATGTCAATATCCTCTGTTCGGAATGTAATTAAGAAATGGCAGTCATCAGGAACAGTGGAAGTTAAAGCAAGATCTGGAAGACCAAGAAAAATATCAGACAGAACAGCTCGCAGGATTGTGAGAAAAACAATTCAAAACCCACGTTTGACTGCACGATCCCTCCAGAAAGATCTGGCAGACACTGGAGTTGTGTTACACTATTCCTTTATAAAGAGATACTTGTACAAATATGGTCTTCATGGAAGAGTCATCAGAAGAAAACCTCTTCTACATCCTCACCACAAAAAAATCATCGTTTGAACTTTGCAAATGAACATATAGACAAGTCTGATGCATTTTGGAAACAAGTTCTGTGGACCGATGAGGTTAAAATTGAACTTTTTGGCCAGAATGAGCAAAGGTACGTTTGGAGAAGAAGGGGCACAGAATTTAATGAAAATAACCTCTGTCCAACTGTTAAGCATGGGGTTGGATCAATCATGCTTTGGGGTTGTGTTGCAGCCAGTGGCACAGGGAACATCTCACGAGTAGGAAAAATGGATTCAATACAATTTCTGCTAATTTTGGATGGTAACTTGATGCCATCTGTGAAAAAGCTGAAGTTAAAGAGAGGATGGCTTCTACAAATGGATAATGATCCTAAACACACCTCGAAATCCACGGGGGATTACATCAAAAGCCGTAAACTGAAGGTTTTGCCATGGCCTTCACAATCTCCTGACCTCAACATAATTGAAAATCTATGGATAGACCTTAAAAGAGCAGTGCGTGACAGACAGCCCAGAAATCTCAAAGAACTGGAAGACTTTTGTAAGGAAGAATGGGCAAAGATACCTCAAACAAGAATTGAAAGACTCTTGGCTGGCTACAAAAAGCGTTTACAAGCTGTGATACTTGCCAAAGGGGGCAGTACAAGATATTAACTCTGCAGGGTGCCCAAACTTTTGCAGACGCCATTTTTCTGTTTTCTGTTATTTTGAAAGTGTAAATGATGGAAATAAAATCTAACTTTTGTTGACATATTATAAGAATGCCTAATCTGTAATTTGATGCCTTTTGGAGATTTTTCCATCTTTCCTTGGCTTCTTTATGCACATTAATACAAGTTTTTAGCTGGGGTGCCCAAACTTTCGATCCCCACTGTACAGAGAGATTGCATTGCAAAGGTGATGAATATTCCAATCAGCAACAAGTACTAGAGAAAATGTCCAAGATGACGCAATTTATAAATGTATGCCTTTTGTAGAAATCTATATAACAATATGTTATAAATCTTCTGCAACAGTTCTGAAATCCATTACAGAATGCTTTCACATGAGTCAAGTAAATGACCTTGGTTTTCCAGACAGGAATAGTGTGACATCATGACACTGAGAAATATAGTCAGGATTATATAACAAACGAGTGCAAAACAGCAATAATGATGTGCAAAGTACAATAATATACCAAGAAATGAAATTTTGCCTTGGTCAGTTAATGGTAATGAGTGAAAAGATTAGTGGCTACATTTACCAAAACACTATATATATATATATATATATATATACACACATATATATATACACACACACACATATCCATACATACACTATATTGCCAGAAATATTGGGACGCCTGCCTTTACACGCACATGAACTTTAATGGCATCCCAGTTTTAGTCCGTAAAGTTCAGTATTGAGCTGACCCACCCTTTGCAGCTATAAGACCTTCAACTCCTCTGGGAAGGCTGTCCACAAGGTTTAGGAGTGTGTCTATGGGAATGTCTGACTATTCTTCTAGAAACACACTATGAGGTCAGGCACTGACGTCGGACGAGAAGGCCTGGCTCACAGTCTCTGCTCTAATTCATCCCAAAAGTGTTCTATCGGGTTGAGCTCAGGCCAGTCAACTTCCTACAACCAAACTCGCTCATCCATGTCTTTACGGACCTTTTTTTGTGCACTGGTGTGCAGTCATGTTGGAACAGGAAGGGGCCATCCCCAAACTGTTCCCACAAAGTTGGAAGAATGAAATTGTCCAAAATGTCTTTGTATGCGGACACCTTAAGAGTTCCCTTCATTGGAACTAAGCAGCCAAGCCCAACCCCTGAAAAACAACTCCCTGCCATAATCCCTCCTCCACAAAATGGTACACTTGACACGATGACAGTCAGGCAAGTACCGTTCTCCTGGCAACCACCAAACCCAGACACGTCCATCAGATTTCCAGACAGAGAAGTGTGATTTGTCACTCCAGAGAACATGTCTCCACTGCGCTAGAGTCCAGTGGCGGCATTCATTGCACTTGGTGATGTAAGGCTTGGATGCAGCTGCTCGGCTATGGAAACCCATTCCATGAAGCTCCCTACGCACTGCTGTTGTGCTACTCTGAAGGCCACACAAGGTTTGGAGGTCTTTAGCTAGTGACCCTGCAGAGAGATGAAGATTTCTGCGCAGTGTGCACTTCAGCATGCGCTGACCCCGCTCTGTCATTTTATGTGGTCTACCACTTGGTGGCTGAGTTTCTGTTGTTCCCAGTTGCTTCCACTTTGTTATAATACCAATAACAGTTGACTGTAGAATATTTAGTAGCAAGGAAATTTCACAGATGGACTTTTTGCACAGTCGGCAACCTATCTCGGTACCATGCTTGAATTCACAGAGCTCCTGTGTCTGCATTCCTAGGTGTTCGATTTTATACACCAGTGGCCACGGAGGTGATTGGAACACCTGAATGCAATGATCTAGAGGAGTGTTCACAATACTTTTGAAATATAGTGTGTATGTGTATATATATATACATACACACACACGCACACTTGAAGACCAAGTGTTCTCTGGTATGGTTTGTCTACAACAAAGGTCTCCAAACTTACAAACAAAAGGCCAGTTTACAGTCCTTCAGACTTTAGGGGGGCCGAATTGTGGCCAGTGGGGGTAGAAAATGTCCCGGGCCCAACATTAGTGAGAATAAAAATTTCTGCAGGGTTGGTAGTCAGTTACATAGTGCCTGTGGGCAGTAGGAGGAGGAATAGTGGCCCATCAGTGGTATTACTGGGAGGAACAGTACCCCATCATTGGTATCAGTGGAAGAAATAGCACCTTATTGTTGGTGTCAATGGGAGGAATAGTGCACCATCATTGGTGTCAGTGGGAGGAATAGTGCCCCATCATTGAATTTAGTGGGAGGAATAGTGGCCCATCATTAGTATCAGAGGGAGGAATAGTGGCCCATCATTGGTGTCAGTGGGAGGAATGGTGCTCCATTATTGATATCAGTGGGAGGAATAGGGCCCTACTATAAGTGTCAGTGGCAGGAATGCCCCACTGTTGGTGTCGGTGGAAGGAATAGTGCCTCATATCAGTGGGAGGACTATTACACTAAGGACTGGATAAAGGCTAGCAAAGGGCTTCAGTTTGGAGATTACTAGTTTACAAGATTAAAGTAGCATTTTTGCTAAAAAATGCCTTATAACCTCTAAATATTATATATTTTTTTAGCAAAGACCCTAGAGAATAAAATGGCAATTGTTGCAATTTTTTTGTGTCACATGGTATTTGCACAGTGGTTTTTCAAATGCAATGTTTTGGAAAAAATACACTTTCATGAAGTAAAAAAAAAAACGTATATCCCAATTTTTTGTAAAATATGAAAGATGATGTTATGCCGAGTAAATACATACCTAACATGTCACACTTTACAATTGCACATGCTCGTGGAATGGCGTCATACTACGGTACTTAAAAATCTCCATGGGCGACATTTTAAAAATGTTTACAGGTTACCTGTTTAGAGTTACAGAGGAGGTCTAGTGCTAGAATTATAGCTCCCACTCTATCATTCTTGGTGATACCGCATATGAGTGCTGTGAACACCATTTACATATGCGTGCAAGACTTTATTGCAAGACTTATTTAATTATTTATTTATACACCGTCCCTTTAATTTTTTTAGCACATTTATTCCTATTATAAGGAATGTAAACATCCCTTGCAATAGAAATAAGGATGGCAGGTCCCCTTTATGGAGTGATATGGGGTCCAAAAGACCCCAAATCTCTCCTTTACCTTCAAAAGTGAAATATCAACAAAAAAAAAAAAGAAAATTTGATCTTTTGAAAAAACATCCACTTTAGACCGGAAGTGATGTCATGATGTCACTCCTCCAAGGTAATAGAGGTGATCAGAGACAATCTAGTCTCTCTTCGCCTCTGTGACCATCCAGCCTGACCATTGGATTGTTTCTTGGGTGCGCTGGTTGAAACGTTAAGGCAAAAAACACCGGTGAGGGACGTGAGGAGGGGACATCCCTCCTGCCAGTTCTGAAAAGCGATCTAGTGGCTAATGATCCGCTCAGACTGCTTTCATTAAAAAGCCAGCCGCTGGCCTGAAAAAAAAATACAAGGGGTAGCTTCGGCCATAACACTGGTAAACCATTTGCAAACTGCAATGTATTTGTACGTATTGTGGTCGGCAAGTTTGTATGTATATACATATATACACCGTGTTCCAAATTATTATGCAAATGATATTTTTCTCATTTACCTAAATAATTGATGTAAATAACAGTCAGCATAATTCTCATGTTATCAACTATTAAGAGTACAATTCACATTTTATTGAACAAACCTCCTAATGATAACAGTATTTTTGTTAAACATAAAACACTTACAATGCACTGTTTCGAATTATTACGCACAGTAAGTTTCAAAACACTTTATAGGTTGTAAAGAACTGAAAATTGTCATTTGTTGTGTTTGCAGCATATTTACTGAAATCAAAAGCTATTTCAGTCAAAGTTTTAACAACATTTTAACTTTTTAAACATTTTAACAGGTCACGTTACATTGTAACATAGGACCCCTTATTTGATAGCAGCTTCACAAGTCTTGCATCCATTGAACTTGTGAGTTTTTGGACAGTTTCTGCTTGAATTTGTTTGCAAGATGTCAGAATAGCCTCCCAGAGCTGCTGTTTGGATGTAAACTTCCTCCTCCCACCCTCATAGATCTTTTGCTTGAGGATGCTCCAGAGGTTCTCAGAAAGATTGAGGTCAGGGGAGGATGGAGGCCACACCATGACTTTCTCTCCTTTTATCCCCATAGCAGCCTTTGATGCAGAGGTATTATTTGCAGCATGAGATGGTGCATTGTCATGCATGAAGATGATTTTATTACAGAAAGCATAGTTCTTCCTTCTGTACCAGGGAAGAAAGTGGTCAGTCATAAACTCCACATAGTTTGCAGAGGTCATCTTTACACCTTCGGGGCCCCTAAAGGGGCCAACCAGCTCTGTTCCCATGATTCCGGCCCAAAACATGACTCCACCACCGCCTTGCTGACGTCGCAGCCTTGTTGGAACAGGGTGGCCGTCCACCAACCATCCACTACTCTATCCATCTGGAACATCCAGGGTTGCACGGCACTCATCAGTGAAAAGAACTGTTTGAAAATTAGTCTTCATGTATTTTTCTGCCCAATGCAGCCGTTTCTGCTTGTGAGCATTGGTTATTGGTGGCCGAATAGAAGGTTTATGCACAGTTGCAAGACTCTGGAGGACTCTACACCTTGATGTCCGTGGGACTCCAGAGGCACCAGCAGCTTCAAATATCTGTTTGCTGCTATGTAATGGTATTTTAGCAGCTGCTCTCTTGATCCGATGCATGGATCTGGCAGAAATCTTCCTCAAAGTGCCTTTATCTGCACGAACCCGTCTGTGCTCTGAATCAGCCACAAATCCCTTAATAGTGCGATGATCACGCTTAAGTTTTCATGAAATATCTAATGTTTTCATACCTCTTCCAAGGCATTGAACTATTTCACTCTTTTCAGCAGCAGAGAGATCCTTTTTCTTCCCCATATTGCTTGAAAATGGTGCTGTGCTTAATAATGTGGGACACCGTCCTTTAGTCGTTTTTCCTTAAATTGGGCTCACCGGCCAATTTAATTATCACAGGTGTCCGAGATTGTTTTCAGTGATCAAAAGAGCGCTGACACACAATGCCATCCATGAGTTAAACTGAAAAACAAAATATTGCATCTTTGTGACACTGAAATAGAATTTGCATAATAAATTTGGAACACGGTACATATACCGTATTTGCCGGCGTATAAGACGACTGGGCGTATAAGACGACCCCCCTACTTTTCCTGCTAAAATTTAGTGTTTGAGCTATAAGACTACCCCTCTTCCAATGCACACCAGTGGCAGGAATAGTGCCCCATCATTGGTATCAGTGGCAGGAATAGTGCCCCATCATTGGTATCAGTGGCAGGAATAGTGCCCCATCATTGGTATCAGTGGGAGGAATAGTGCCCCATCATTGGTATCAGTGGCAGGAATAGTGCCCCATCATTGGTATCAGTGGCAGGAATAGTGCCCCATCATTGGCATTAGTGGCAGGAATAGTCCCCATCATTAGTATCAGTGGGGGGAATAGTGCCCCATCATTGGTATCAGTGGGGGGAATAGTGCCCCATCATTGGTGTCAGTGGGAGGAATGGTGTCCCAACATTGGTGTCAGTGGGAGGAATGGTGTCCCATCATTGGTGTCAGTGGGGGGTGGAATAGTGCCCCATCATTGGTGTCAGTGGGGGGGGGAATAGTGCCCCATCGTTGATGTCAGTGGGGGGGAGGAATAGTGCCCCATCGTTGGTGTCAGTGGGGGGGAGGAATAGTGCCCCATCGTTGGTGTCAGTGGGGGGGAGGAATAGTGCCCCATCGTTGGTGTCAGTGGGAGGAATAGTGCCCCATCGTTGGTGTCAGTGGGAGGAATAGTGCTCCATCATTGGTATCAGTGACACCAATGATGGGGCACTATTCCTCCCACTGACACTTGCTGACCCTGTTCTCGTATGGTGCTGCTGCAGCCAGCATATGTGGTTGCAGCAGCACCTCTACACTGACCACTTACCTGCTGGTCCTGCACTCGATTTTCGTGGGGCCGCTCGGCTCCACCCCCTCGCCGGTGATTGGCCGCCTGTGTGCCTTTCCTGAGCTACAGTTCTGGCGGCCAATCACTGGTGAGGAGGCGGAGCCGAGCAGCCGCACGAACATCCAGTGGCCGAACTGAAGGCGCAGCCGCGCTTCCTGGACCGGATCGTCGTGGGACCGGAACCAGGTAAGAAACAGCCGCTGCCCACCCCTGTACTTAGTGTCCCTTCCATTAGGGGAAGGGGGGGCGGCGGCGGCAACGCGCCGCCCCCCTAAAAAGTGTCAGTATGCCGTATACCGGCGTATAAGACGACCCCCGACTTTTGAGAAGATTTTCAAGGGGTAAAAAGTCGTCTTATACGCCGGCAAATACGGTATATATATATATATATATATATATATATACTGTATATATATAAAAAACATATATATAATCAAAATTCACAGAAGAGAAACTGAATTCTTTTGATTATACAATGAAAAGAGCAATATGCATCGGCACTAAACCGCTCATAACAGCATCTGTAAGAATGTAATTAATCAAACTAAAAGTGCTTGTCAATTATTGAGTGACCTGGCCAGATTTGATTTGAACAGGCCAGGAGCTTGTTTCCTGACTCCTATATGATAGACAAAGCTGGAGGGGAAATACATATGTTTTAGCAGGCTGACACTAACCAAACCAACACAAACATGCAGCTAAACCTCAAATTTGTTTGTTAGTTATTGCTAAAATGCATCTCATTAATTCTAACTTGACAACCAATCAAAACCACTTTTAAACACAAATGATTATAACACAATTGTTACAGCAATGAAAAAATGTGAAAGTGAACATACAGATAAAACATTGTTAAGGCCTCATTAACACTGACAATAACATGCATGTGTTTATGTGCATTTATATATTGTATAATATACACTGTGTTTATCTCTGTTTAGGTACATTCAGTTTAGCTGTGTTTACAGAAAATAAAATGTAGCTCATCCAGGGACAGATTAGATACTCCTATCCACCTCATCTAGTGACAGAACACTTTGCCCTCATTCAGAAAAAGCAGCATTCTCTGAATGATGCCCATGAAGAACAGCTGACCTCCTGTGTTCAGGATGTAGCAGGCCCACTGCTCAGCATGGGACTCGGAAGCAAGTGGAGATCACTGGAGTAGTGTTGTCTTCTTCAGTGATTTCCAACTTCCAGGAGCATCAGCCAGGCAGGGCCGTGGATAAGGGGGTAACACCTGTCATCCTGTACGGGGCCCAGGCCAGGAGGGGGGCCAGGCAGCTGGGTGAATCTGATGTGGGCAGTGAGGGTGATCGACACAGTGGGGGGCAATTACTGGAACTGATCCCCTGTATGGCTCTCTCTGCAGTAGCTGAAAGCTGCCTTTTTCTCCTCTCCCTCCAGATGGCTTTCAGCTGCTGAAGACAGAGCGATACAAGGGAACGGTTCCAGTAATTGACCCCCCGCCCCCCCCCCGCCACACCCCATAAACCTCAATGTGCACCATATGTTTCCCCTTTCTACCCAGGCCCCATTGTGTTCCTCTCCTTCCCATCGGTAGCTGCCAGCACACAATAGGATCCTTCAGGATGGAGAGTGGGGGAAGGGTCTAGTAAATAAGTCACATTACGATCGGTACTGATCACTCACTGTATTCATTCATAACTGAAGCATTAAAAACTGTGTTCTTTTAGAGGGGGCCCTGTTCAGTAGGCTGTATGGGGCCCCGTGGTTTCTAACAGCAGCCCTGCAGCCAGCTACAGTTGTCTTCAAAATAATAGCAGTCAGACATCACTAACCTGATCAATCACTGTTTTTGGTAGAAATGATATTTCTACATGGCAAATAATTTACTAGCAGGTGTAGTAGAGTAATAGAAATCCAACAGACAAGACAGTCATGACATGCATGCTGCTGATTCTGTGTAATTGAATCACTAATTGAAAGGGGCATGTTCAAAATAATAGCAGTGTGGAGTTCTATTAGTGAGGTCATTCATTCTTTGAAAAACAGGTGGCAATTACTGCCCTTATTTAAGGAAGGAAGGCAGCAAATGTTGTACATGCTGGTTACAGTGCATTTCTCTCTGAAATTCTGAGGAAAATGGGTTGTTCCAGACATTGTTCAGAAGAACAGCGTACCTTGATTAAAAAGTTGATTGGAGAGGGGAAAACATATAAAGAAGTGCAGAAAATGATAGGCTGCTTAGCTAAAATGATCGCAAATGCTTTAAAATGGCAACCAAAACCTGAAAGACGTAGAAGAAAGCGAAAAACTACCATTCGAATGGATAGAAGAATAGCCAAAATGGCAAGGACTCAGCCAACAATCAGCTCCAGGAAGATCAAAGAAGGTCTAAAGTTCCCTGTGAGTACTGTTACAATTAGAAGACGCCTATGTGAAGCCAAGCTATCTGCAAGAATCCCCCGTAAAGTCCCACTGTTGAAAAAAAGACATGTGCTGAAGAGGTTACAATTTGCCAAAGAGCACATTGACTGGCCTAAAGAGAAATGGCGCAACATTTTGTGGACTGATGAAAGTAAGATTGTTCTTTTTGGGTCTAGTGGCCGGAGACAGTTTGTCAGACGACCCCCAAACACTGAATTCAAGCCACAGTACACTGTGAAGACAGTGAAGCATGGTTGCCCAAGCATCATGATATGGGGATGTCAGGGCTCCCGGGTATGACCAGAGGTGTGTGACTGACGCAGGGAAACGCAGACTTCAGATAAGTTATAAACAATTTATTAACACTAACAATACAAACATAAACGCAGTGCAATACTAAAACATAACACAGTGCAAAGGAACCAAACCAAACCACCCACAGATAACAGTACATACAGTGCAAGCGTCGTCAGGCAGGCCGGGTAAATATCAATCAGGCAGGTAGGTACAGGGGGAGCAAGCGGAGAATAGTCAGGTCACGAGCAGGGTACAGCAACTAACAAACAGGTAGGTACAGGGGGTCAGGCAGAGAATGGTCGGGGTCACAAGCCAGGGATCAGAACAGGAGAAGTCAGCAGAGGTCAGAATCAAGCCGGGTCAGCAACAAGACAGGGACAGGAACAGGAGCAGGATGCAGGATGCAGGATGCAGGAACAAGATACAGGGCCCAGGAAAAACACAACACCAAGGCAGAGTCTGCAGGTCTGAATGTCCCTTAAATACACCAGTATAATTAGTTCCAGGTGTTTGACTGGCTGCAAGGTTGAGTCTCTGATTGCTGGGAGCACCCGCTGGCCAGCCCCGGTACTGCAGCTCACAAGGCAGCTGAGTCCCACCATTGCTGGCCAGTCCATTCCTGACAGTACCCCCCCCCCCTCAAGGAGCGGCCTCAGGACGCTCCAAACAGTCCTAGCTGGGCAAAAAGTTCCACCGCCCGGGTCTGGTAACTGGCGGGATATCAAAGACTGGCACACCGGGCAGGACTCCGGGCAGTGGCACACCGGGCAGGGGCACACACCGGGCAGGGGCACACCGGGCAGAGGCACACCGGGCTAGACTCCGGGCAGAGGCACATCGGGCTGGACTCCGGGGAGAGGCACATCGGGCTGGACTCCGGGCAGAGGCACATCGGGCTGGACTCCGGGCAGAGGCACATCGGGCTGGACTCCGGGCAGAGGCACATCGGGCTGGACTCCGGGGCAGAGGCACATCGGGCTGGACTCCGGGCAGAGGCACATCGGGCTGGACTCCGGGCAGAGGCACATCGGGCTGGACTCCGGGCAGAGGCACACCGGGCTGGACTCCGGGCAGAGGCACACCGGGCTGGACTCCGGGCAGAGGCACACGGGCTGGACTCCGGGCAGAGGCACACCGGGCAGAGGCACATCGGGCTGGACTCCGGGCAGAGGCACATCGGGCTGGACTCCGGGGCAGAGGCACACCGAGCAGAGGCACACCGGGCTGGACTCCGGGCAGAGGCACACACGGGCTGGACTCCGGGCAGAGGCACATCGGGCTGGACTCCGGGCAGAGGCACATTGGGCTGGACTCCGGGCAGAGGCACATCGGGCTGGACTCCGGGCAGAGGCACATCGGGCTGGACTCCGGGCAGAGGCACACCGGGCAGAGGCACATCGGGCTGGACTCCGGGCAGAGGCACATCGGGCTGGACTCCGGGCAGAGGCACACCGGGCAGAGGCACACCGGGCTGGACTCCGGGCAGAGGCACACCGGCTGGACCCTGGGCAGAGGCACATCGGGCTGGACTCCGGGCAGAGGCACATCGGGCTGGACTCCGGGCAGAGGCACATCGGGCTGGACCCCGGGCAGAGGCACATCGGGCTGGACTCCGGGCAGAGGCACATCGGGAGATTACCAGGTGAAGCAGCAGGCACCGGGCCCCCAGGCGGGGCGGCGGGCGCCGGGCCCCCAGGCGGGGCGGCGGGCGCCGGGCCCCGAGGAGGGGCGACAGGCATCAGGCCCCCCCCAGGGGGCGGGCGACAGCCATCGGGCCCCCAGGCGGGGCGACAGCCATCGGGCCCCCAGGCGGGGCGACAGCAGCCGGGCCCCCAGGCGGAGCGGCGGGCACCGGGCCCCCAGGAGGGGCGACAGGCACCGGGCCCCCAGGCGGAGCGCGACGGGCATCGGGCCCCCAGGCGGGGCGACGGGCATCGGGCCCCAAGGCGGGGCGACGGGCATCGGGCCCCCAGGCGGAGCGACGAGCATCGGGGGCCCCCAGGCGGAGCGGGCACCCGTCTGGCAAGACTGCGGGCACAGAGTCGTCTGGCAAGACTGCGGGCACCGAGTCGTCTGGCAAGACTGCGGGCACACGAGTCGTCTGGCGGAGACTGCGGGCACCGAGTCAACTGGCAAGACTGCGGGCACCGAGTCGTCGCGGCAGCGGGCACCGAGACTGCGGGCACCGAGTCGTCTGGCAAGACTGCGGGCACCGAGTCGTCTGGCAAGACCGGGCACCGAGTCAACTGGCGGAACAGCGGGCATCGAGTCAACTGGCGGAACTGCGGGCACCGAGTCGTCTGGCAAGACTGCGGGCACCGAGTCAACTGGCGGAACGACAGCGGGCATCGAGTCGTCTGGCAAGACTGCGGGCACCGAGTCGTCTGGCAAGACTGCGGGCACCGAGTCGTCTGGCAAGACTGCGGGCACCGAGTCGTCTGGCAAGACTGCGGGCACCGAGTCGTCTGGCAAACTGCGGGCACCGAGTCGTCTGGCGGACTGCGGGCACCGTCGTCTGGCAAGACTGGGGGGCACAAGTCTGCGGGCACCGAGTGGCTGGCAAGACTGCGGGCACCGAGTCAACTGGCGGAACAGCGGGCATCGAGTCAACTGGCGGAACTGCGGGCACCGAGTCGTCTGGCAAGACTGCGGGCACCGAGTCGTCTGGCAAGACTGCGGGCACCGAGTCGTCTGGCAAGACTGCGGGCACCGAGTCGTCTGGCAAGACTGCGGGCACCGAGTCGTCTGGCAAGACTGCGGGCACCGAGTCGTCTGGCAAGACTGCGGGCACCGAGTCAACTGGCGGAACAGCGGGCATCGAGTCAACTGGCGGAACTGCGGGCACCGAGTCGTCTGGCAAGACTGCGGGCACCGAGTCGTCTGGCAAGACTGCGGGCACCGAGTCAACTGGCGGAACAGCGGGCATCGAGTCAACTGGCGGAACAGCGGGGCACCGAGTCATCTGGCAAGACTGCGGGCACCGAGTCGTCTGGCAAGACTGCGGGCACCGAGTCGTCTGGCAAACTGCGGGCACCGAGTCAACTGGCGGAACAGCGGGCATCGAGTCAACTGGCGGAACTGCGGGCACCGAGTCATCTGGCAAGACTGCGGGCACCGAGTCAACTGGCGGAACAGCGGGCATCCGAGTCAACTGGCGGAACTGCGGGCACCGAGTCGTCTGGCAAGACTGCGGGCACCGAGTCGTCTGGCAAGACTGCGGGCACCGAGTCGTCTGGCAAGACTGCGGGCACCGAACCGAGTCGTCTGGGACTGCGGGCACCGAGTCAACTGGCGGAACACAGCGGGCATCGAGTCAACTGGCGGAACTGCGGGCACCGAGTCGTCTGGCAAGACTGCGGGCACCGAGTCAACTGGCGGAACAGCGGGCACGAGTCGTCTGGCAAGACTGCGGGCACCGAGTCGTCTGGCAAGACTGCGGGCACCGAGTCGTCTGGCAAGACTGCGGGCACCGAGTCGTCTGGCAAGACTGCGGGCACCGAGTCGTCTGGCAAGACTGCGGGCACCGAGTCGTCTGGCAAGACGGGGGCACCGAGTCGTCTGGCAAGACTGCGGGCACCGAGTCGTCTGGCAAGACTGCGGCCACCGAGTCAACTGGCGGAACAGCGGGGCATCGAGTCGTCTGGCAAGACTGCGGGCACCGAGTCGTCTGGCAAGACTGCGGGCACCGAGTCGTCTGGCAAGACTGCGGGCACCGAGTCGTCTGGCAAGACTGCGGGCACCGAGTCGTCTGGCAAGACTGCGGGCACCGAGTCAACTGGCAAGACTGCGGGCACACCGAGTCAACTGGCGGAACAGCGGGCATCGAGTCAACTGGCGGAACTGCGGGCACCGAGTCGTCGTCTGGCAAGACTGCGGGCACCGAGTCAACTGGCGGAACAGCGGGCATCGAGTCAACTGGCGGAACTGCGGGCACCGAGTCGTCTGGCAAGACTGCGGGCACCGAGTCGTCTGGCAAGACTGCGGGCACCGAGTCGTCTGGCAAGACTGCGGGCACCGAGTCGCCTGGCAAGACTGCGGGCACCGAGTCGTCTGGCAAGACTGCGGGCACCGAGTCAACTGGCGGAACTGCGGGCACCGAGTCAACTGGCGGAACAGCGGGCATCGAGTCAACTGGCGGAACTGCGGGCACCGAGTCGTCTGGCAAGACTGCGGGCACCGAGTCGTCTGGCAAGACTGCGGGCACCGAGTCATCAGGTACCGGATTGTCTGGCTCGACAGCGGGCATCGGGTCACCAGGTATGACAGCGGGCACTGGGTCACCAGGCATCAGGTCATTTTGCTCGCCAGCGGGCACCGCGTCATCTGGCAAGGCAGGCACCGGGCACCGAGTCACCAGGTACGACAGCGGGCTCTGAGTCAATTGGCACGACAGCGGGCACCGGATCATCTCTGGATCAACAGCGGGCATCGAGTCAACTGGCCTAATAGGATCATCAGGCTGGATCAGTTCATTATGCTGAAGGCATCCGGTAGAAGCATCCGGCTGAGTAGAGGCATCCAGCTGAGTAGAGGCTTCCGGCTGAGTAGAGGCTTCAGGCTGAGTAGAGGCTTCAGGCTGAGTAGAGAGGCATCAGGCTGAGTAAGCAGGCATCAGGCTGAGTACAGGCATCAGGCTGAGTACAGGCATCAGGCTGAACCACGGAAGGCAGGTTCTCTCAGACGGTAGGCTCACCGGTTTGGATACTGGCAGGATGGTACTGGTTGGAAAGAATTTTCGCTTTTTTTCTGGTTTTAACTACTGGGGCACTGCAAGTAAACGCAGGTCTGCAAATGAATGGAGCAGCTGGAGACAGAGAAGAACTGGAGGATGGAACAGGGGAGGGAACAGTTGCTACAGAGGGCTTCTTTACAGGGTTAAAGGCAGGATAGGTGCAGCGAGTGGGAACAGGGTACTGACATGCGGTAGATAGCCAAGTATACTGGGCTGTAACTGGAGGAGCTGTTGGGTATACAGGAGTAGAGCTTTGAGGAGATAGATTAGAAGCAGGACTGGGTCTTTGTAAGCTGACTGAGGCTGGGTGCAACAAACTGTCCATGTCTGCAGTATGGGTTGAACAAAGCTGAGCTTACACAAAGCCTGTCTGACCAAAGACTGCACTGCGTTTATACAATCTCTTAGTGTCTGTGGTGAACATGTGGAATAACGCTCCAGAAAGTAATCCACATCATCCTCTAATAACCATACCAAGGGACTCTACCTGGTCTGCACTAAATGGTGGCAAAAATTCATCCCTGCATTCGGGGGGTACCAGATGAAACCAACTCAGCACAAACCTCAATCAATGGCTGCACCTCAGAGAACTCTGTGCCCTGATCTACTAGAACATGAGCGAGCCGTATACATTCTAGCAGTTCATCCCGGGTATACTCCTTCAGAGTTTGATAAGCATACTCCCTGTCATCAAACACTAGCAGATATAAATACGCAACCTCATCCAGATCCATCCTTCCCATCAACAAACCAAGATGGCTTCCCTGTGCAGCCACTTCTGGTCAGGATTGGCCTTGGTGTAATGTCAGGGCTCCCGGGTATGACCAGAGGTGTGTGACTGACGCAGGGAAACGCAGACTTCAGATAAGTTATAATCAATTTATTAACACTAACCATACAAACATAAACGCAGTGCAATACTAAAACATAACACAGTGCAAACGAACCAAACCAAACCACCCACAGATAACAGTACATACAGTGCAAGCGTCGTCAGGCAGGCCGGGTAAATATCAATCGGGCAGGTAGGTACAGGGGGAGCAAGCGGAGAATAGTCAGGTCACGAGCAGGGTACAGCAACTAACAGGCAGGTAGGTACAGGAGGTCAGGCAGAGAATGGTCGGGATCACAAGCCAGGGATCAGAACAGGAGAAGTCAGCAGAGGTCAGAATCAAGCCGGGTCAGCAACAAGACAGGGACAGGAACAGGAACAGGAACAGGAGCAGGATGCAGGATGCAGGATGCAGGATGCAGGAACAAGATACAGGGCCCAGGAAAAACACAACACCAAGGCAGAGTCTGCAGGTCTGAATGTCCCTTAAATACACCAGTATAATTAGTTCCAGGTGTTTGACTGGCTGCAAGGTTGAGTCTCTGATTGCTGGAAGCACCCGCTGGCCAGCCCCGGTACTGCAGCTCACAAGGCAGGTGAGTCCCACCATTGCTGGCCAGTCCATTCCTGACAGGGGATGTTTCTCATACTACGGTGTTGGGTCTATTTATCGCATACCAGGGATCATGGATCAGTTTGAATACATCAGAATACTTGAAGAGGTCATGCTGCCTTATGCTGAAGAGGAAATGCCCTTGAAATGGGTGTTCCAACAAGACAACGACCCCAAACACACCAGTAAACGTGCAACATCTTGGTTCCAGACCAACAAGATTGACGTTATGGAGTGGGCAGCCCAATCCCCGAATCTTAATCCAATAGAAAACTTGTGGGGTGACATCAAAAATACAGTTTCTGAGGAAAAACCAAGAAATAGAGAAAAACTGTGGAATATAGTCCAATCATCCTGGTCTGGAATACCTGTTCACAGGTGCCAGAAGTTGGTTGACTTCATGCAACACAGATGTACAGCAGTTCTCAGAAACAGTGCTTATACAACTAAATATTCATTAAGTGATTCAAAGGAAAAATCTTCAAACATTTTTCAGTTTATATAGTGAATGTTTGAGTTTGTAAAGAAGAATACAAACACTGCTATTTTTTTATAACAGTCTAATATTCACTTTTCTTCATTTTGTTTTTTAGAGGAACAACACAAATTTGATATATTTTTCCTCATGTTTTGATTTGGAATAGAATGTGTAGTGGTCCCAATGCATTTGTGTGTATGGAAATAAAAGCTATATTCACTTTTTTCAACACACTGCTATTATTTTGAACACAACTGTTTGTATACTTTCAT